AGGCTGTCTTTGCTTTGTGGGCCACGGGCTTAAACTGAAGTCTAGAAGTAATGTGGTCAGTTTACAGTTAAACCTCATTTATCTTGAGGGTGTCACTGCATTGTCATTGTATACAATACTTTTAGAATTGCTTTGGCATGTTAGCAGAGTTGCACCAGGGGGAATTTTTTCATAGAGACTTGCTTAGGAAATGTTTATATCTCAGTTTTTACTGAGTAACATAGATGTGAAACACACTGTCTATAAAATAAAATGCTAACCTTTTAGACACCCATATTAAGCTCTGACACATAGAATACTCAGTGAAGGTGAAAAACAGTATGAAACAACAGCATGAAATGGGAAAGTTGGAGAATGATAAAATCTTACTTGTTTGGCTACATATAAGTGAGCCTTTCAGCCAAGGAATTAGTAGTATTAAGTCCTTCTAAACTATAAGTAGGTGCTAATTTTTTCAAGGTACGTTAGGTTTTACAGTTCAGCCTTATGTTGAGATCTGTTTTTATTTCCATGTTATCACAAATCACAGTGTGGTTGATATGGGCAGGATCCTCTGGGTCTATGTGGCCCAGTAGGGCCCGCCTAAGCAGGGTGACCAGCTTCTGATGATCTCTAAAGAGGAGACCCCCACAGCTTCCAGGTACCTGTGCCAGTGCTCTGGTGCCACACAGCACAGAAGTGCTGCCTCGTGCAGAGGGACCTCCTGTCTTCCACTTTGTGCCGTGTCTCTTGTCCTGGCACTGGGCACCACTGAAAACAGCTTGGCTCTGTCCGCATTGCACCCTTCCTTCAGATATTTAAACACATCGATGAGTTTATCCCTGAGCCTCCTCTTATCCACACTGAACAGCCCCAGCTCTCTCCAGCCCTCCCTTATAGTGGAGATGCTCCAGTCCATTTGTGACCCTTCACTGTGCTCTTTCCAGTATGTCCCTGTCTCTCTGGTGCTGAGGAGCCCAGCACTCCAGCACCTCACCAGTATTGGACTACCATACAGATGGTAGATTTAACTGAAAAGAGTCACAATGCAGACTCCTAGCTAATATCCACATAACTATGTAGCTGCATATCCTATCTGAACCTCAGGATCTTGTTCCATGATAGCTCCTAGCTTTCAAAAGTACATTTTTATTTATAATATGACATCTCCAACTCATCTTTAGATCTGTAAGCTATGGGCATTCTGGTCTCACCTTACAAATAAAGATTTTTTTTCCTCCATTCAGTGGGTACTTTTCAAGGAGCAGTGAATAAAGGTTTAGCTCCAAGGTTTAGAGAAGTAATGGTGAAACAGGACAGAGACCTGTAGACTTCTTGCAAGATTTCCCTCCTCCCTTCTCCCTAAAACAGAACAAAAAGAGCAAAAAACCAACAACAAAACACAGCAGCAACCAACAAAAATAGGAAAATATGGCAGCATGACAACATTTGAGATTTATTGAACTAATGGGGAAACTAAATTAGTCTTTTGGTGCACTGTATTTCTTTCTGTCCTATCTTCTGTGTGGTTCATAACAGCAGCAGTGTTGGATCCCTCAGAGCATGGATTTTGTGGTAAGCAAAGTCGGAGAAGGTTGAGAGGATAAGGAAATGCACAGAAGGGAAGTGTATCTCTTTCCACTGGAATATCCCTCTTTCCTGAGGTATACATACACACAGATTTTACACGCAGTTCTTTAAGGTCATAGGGCAGACATATCTTCTGTCACAGGAGACAGATCCAGCTCCTTGCCTTTCTTAAGGAAAAAAAATAAGGAATTTTAAAAAAAAAACCTTCTCTTTAAGTAGTCTCAGGTAGATTATCATCACAGAGGGAGGATATATCCCCAAGTAAGGACTTCTGGATTCAGCTTGCATAAATAGACCTCAGGGAGTGAGTGGGTGAGTGAGTCAAGTGAAAGATACAAAGAACAAAGGTGATATTTTACATTTTTGTGGCTGCTGGGCGTGCTTCCAGTTCAGTGGTACTGGGAGAACTGTCATCTACCTTTAAGAATAGCATTAAAAAATACTGACTTAAGGTGAACATTCCCATCCAAGGTGTACTGGCCTTGTAGTGCTGGCAAGTCATTACTGAAGAATAATTAGTGCCAAAATGTGAGCAGAGATCTTCATACAATTGCTGATTAAGTGCATCTACAGATCTACTTCCCCAATCATCCATCCAATATTCCAATTGAACTGGCAGCCAAAATTCACGAGGCAAATTTCATTACGTTAGTTGTGCCTAACCTAGAGCTGGCATTCTGTTGTAGTCATGATGGTGGGATGGATAGGAGTCTGTAAGATGAATTCATAATGCTTCATTATGATGAAATATCAAAGTACGTTGGAAGGTCACCTTGTGTTGTATAATTATGTATTCAAAAGAATTTAAATTCTTTGCTCAGCCCTCAGTGAATCTGAGACAACAGCAGTGATGGGAAAAACCTCTCTTAAAAATCCCAAGAATCATACTTGTTTTGGCATGACACTGCCTAAGGTGATTTGCGAACAAGGCTGACTTTGCCAAGCTTTCACATAACACACAATTCAGCATACGTTTTGCAACATTAAATCTGCTTTCCATTTGCATGGATAGAATTGCCTGATTGTGTACATTTCGTTAGTTTAAAGGGCTCCAATATTCTAATACTGGAGCCAAAATGAATTTCTTGAGGTGATGGAGGCTGTATGTTAATTACTTTAACGAGTCATTCAGAACCGTGCCTAAGGTTGTTCCTTTGTCTGACTTTGGAAGGTATCAGTGTATCTGCTGCCGCAGTAGTACTGGGATGGTAGCTAGTGACCATCCTGAAAATCAGGTTCAAATCTGACAGCAGTAGATGCTCATATCTTTGTGAAGTTGCTTCACTGTTTTTTGGTAAAAGTACTATTGCCAGATACCGTAAAGCTTATAAAATACAGAAATCTGTAGGTATGAGTTGAAGTGGTCTTGTCAAAGAGACCTCAATTAATAAGTAGCATGCACACCTAAGAAGCAATGCATACCATCATTTCTCATCTCTTCAGAGCCTAAATAAAAAAGCCCTTTATGGACAAGTACCAGACTGCCACATTTTAGCCCATCAGTTTAAATCTGATGTCATATAGTTTCAAATTGAGTTTGATTAAATTGTTCGCTGTGTCTCTGCCCGAAGCAGTTTGCAGTGTTAGCTGATAGGACGTGATCTGGGTGGCAGCAACCATAGAGGCAAAAGGCACATTTAGCTCATCAAAGATGGTCAGCACGTCCTCCAGTTATTGCTTTGCTTTTTTTCTTAGTGGCACAGATTTCTGCAGGGCTTATTATGCCTGAGACCTGTCACCATCCTCTGGGCATATCTGGGTGTATCTGGTGCTGACCCACAGATAAGTAGTGGCCTATAGCCCTGCTCTGCATGTGAGAGCTGCAACATATAAAGCACCATTTCTCACAATGAACTCATGGTTAGTAATAGGGGATCCAAATCCTACATTTGCTTCTGCCTATGGGCAGTGAGAGGGGAAGGACTGTCTCTGAGTACTTCTTGTTCTCCCAGGGTAGACAGGAGAGGTTTTATCCTGAGAAATGCAACAGTGAAGATGTTGGCTCTGGATGTAGCTTTTTAGGACCTTTTCAGAGAGAAGAAAAGGAGTGTACAGGGAGACATGAAAGTACTGACCTTTCTTCATAATCAAAGATGCATGGGAAAATACTTAGTTTGTAAAGTCACCATGTCTCTGTTGAATAGTTTTGGGAACTGTGACCATAAATTCATAGCTTGCAGTGTTTTCTGAGGGCTGTGATCCAGAGAGAGGGGTAGCCTGACTAGCAGGCTGCAAAAAAGACAGGGAACTCCTGGAGAGAGTCCAGCAGAGGGTTGAAGAGATGATTGAGGCCTGGAGCATCTCCCTTATGAGGAAAGGCTGAGAGACCTGAGGCTGTTCAGCCTGGAGGAGACTGAGGGGGATCTTAGCAATGCTTATAAATGTCTCCTGGGTGGGAGAGCTCTTTTCAGTGGTGCCCAGCAGCCGGACAAGCGGCAGTGGGCACAAATTGCAGATGGAAAGTTCCATCTGAACGTGAGGAAAAACCTCCTTACTTTGAGAGTGACAGAGCACTGGAACAGGCTGCCCAGAGAGCTTGTGGAGTCTCCTTCTCTGGAGGTATTTTTAACCCACCTGGACACTTTCCTGTGCAACCTGCTGTAGGGAACCTGCTTTAGCAAGGGGTTGGGCTGGATGATCTCCAGTGGTCCCTTCTAGCCTCTACTATTCTGTGATTCTGTGAATCTCTTGGGAATTTAGACACAAAACTGTGCTGTTCATCACAACCTGCTGTACTGTAGACCAAAATGGCAATACAGTCATACAGAGTAAAAATATTTTAAATTTCACTTTGAGAGGAAAAACTGTGTGCCACTGACTGAAAGTAATTTTTGACACTGTCTTTTTCTGAAAGCTCTAGCAATTCCATCTATTAATTTGTTTCTTTCCTGAATATATTTATGCAGCAGAAGTATTCCTCTCCCTCAAGGTAAATTCTGTATCGCTTCACACCCCATTCTTTACAGACCTTCATAAATCCATTGTCATTTATTTGATCCTTTAAATTTGGTGGAAGTATGTTTCCAATATACAACATAAAAAGAATTTAATTTTGAATTTATACGATAATAATTAATCTCCAATTGTATTATACTTTAATGAATGCATGACATTTCACTCTGTTTTTGTCTCTCTAAATAGCTCATTATGTTCTGTCTTGTTTTGATTATATATAGGATAGCATTAGCTGAGAGAAAGTTATACGTGTTGAAGGATGCAATTAAATTCTAAAAAGTAGGATATTCAAAAATATTTCCCATCTGTCCTGGTTCTTATCAAGTTTAGTAGAAAAATATTCTCAAAGACTGGATAAAATATGAAGGCAAAAGAAATGAGATCGCTGAAAAATAACGAGCTTTCACTCTACGTTGGCAGCTGACAAATAAAAGTTCACATTAATTAAAGGAAAAAATATCTCTTTATTCTTTCAGACCACTCTTCCGTGGAAATTCAGATGTTGATCAGCTAGGAAAAATCTTTGAGTAAGTAATAACCAGTTGCATTATGTCAATATATGTTTAATACTGAAATACCGTGAGGTTTCTTTGCTGTGTTTTTAATGCAGTAATGTGTCTAGAACTAAGTATTCCTAGAGCCCATTTCCTGTTGCTACTCTATGCAACGTGATATTTCCATGCATTCTCTGTCAGAGTGGGAGGAGGAAGCAGCGTGGAACAGAGTTCTGCAGAACTAGCAGCCATCATCAGGAAGTTACGAGAAGCTTCTGTTTGGGGCTTTTTAAATCTCTTAAACATACTGTGCATGTACTATTCATGAGTTTTCCTAAGCAGTTAGTTTCAAGAGATTCTCTTGGCTCAAATACAAATGCAATTTTTGTTTCAACAAATGCAGTTTTCATTTTCTTTTCAGTAATTTCCTCGTGTATTTCAGAAAATAACATTAGAATCCTTTAAAATGCCAATCAAATTAAAAAGTCGAGGATGCTTACCAACAGCTTCTTTATGGGAAAGCCTTCTGTACGTGAGAAAATAGTTTAGCTTTTAAAAAATACTGTATAACCTGCTAGAACAATTAATAGTCCAGATAACTGTGAGAATAGAAGGACTAGCAGCACATAATGTAGATTTTGTCAGAGACTGACTAATAGGCTTTCCTTTAAAACCTTTTCTAAATTCAAGGAGTTTGTGTTTTTCTTCTTCAGATGTACAGAATATGTTGAGGAGGTGGAGAGGCTCTGAAGTCTCTGAGGTAGATTAACTCTTTTCCAAAGTATGTTCTTATTAGAAACAGAAGCAACCAAAAAATAAATTGTAAAATGACCGATATTACCAATGTGTTAATTAAGTAGGAATATATCTTTTTTTAATTTTTTCTTGTACGAGCTCTTCAGGGCAAGGAATGTTTCTAAATTTGTAAGAACCATGTAATTTGAAGATTCACGTACACGTCACTTCATTAGGAAATCAGACCCACTTAGGTCTCATCCCGTGCCACAGAACGAACGCCTGTTTACTTCTGCACCACTGTGTTCCTTTTTCCTATGGAGAGACTGCAAAGATCTGCTGATGTTCATAAAGGAAGAAACAGATAGGCAAAGTGAGAGAGGGAGAAAGAGGAGACGTTGCAACTCTGTTCTGTTAAAGATACTGCAAACAGAAGATAGTAAATTTTTTAGGAAAAAGAGCATAATTAGAATAAATAATGAATTTTTCTGCCTAGCCGTATTTCCAGTTCTCAAGTCGTTAACAGATCTGTTTCTGAGCATTTTCATTATTTAGTATGAGGTTCCTAAATTGCAGGTCTTGATTTCACACAGTTGACTTCCTTTTCCTGCATGCCATACCAGTGTATGTGACTCACTTGCGTGGTTAATTTGTCATGCGCTGAACAGCTCTTCCTGCATAATCCAAAAAAATCAATCCTCAAAGTTTACTTTTTCCTCTGCCAAAGCTACTCTTTCAGTCCTGCAATATTCTGCTTTATTAAATGAAGATAGTTTTGATACATGGAACTTATTTTGAGGGGAAAAAAAAAAAAAAAAAAAAAAAAAAAAAAGCTGTGATTTTTTTTAGGGATTTTGATTTGATTTACTAATGATAATTAAGAGGAAAAATCTAAATTAATTGGGATAGGATTAAATATATAACCGGTAGCAGCAACTTCCAGCAGGATCTTTCCATCCCTAGGGGGCGATTACCTGTGCAGAAAAGAATTCATCAAGAAAAGAAAATGCAGTGCTAATTTTAGAAGAAATTCCTTATTATACATTTACTTAAAGAGAAAGTTTACTTTTGCTTCTTTTGCACATTTCTCCTTAAATAGTTCAGAAGTCACTTGTTTGGGTTTGGGGGCTACAATAGTGTTTATTTTGTGTTTTCACAGCTGGACAACCCCATACAGTTAGGCATAGCTCTTCTTGTAGGAGGATTGTTTCTTTCTACGGTAGTGAGTCATTCTCCAGACAAATTTGGACAGAAAGTAGTTTCAGGATTTTCATGCAGACTGGACTGATGTATTCTTTCATATAATCGGGCTGTGGTCTGCCTTTGCTTTACATGTGCTGATTTGCCTCAGGTAAAATTCCAGTGTGCTTGAGGGTAAATCCTTAGGAGGTTGCCCCAGACAATGTCCTGCTTTTCTAGGACACTGTCTGCATGTGGGATATCCTCACAGATTTCAGGGTAAATGCTGCAATGGTATGAGCAGACTTGTCTCTCATTGTGATCAACGGGAGCAGAAAGTACTCAGCATTTCTCAAGACCAGGCCTGAACGTTTAGCAGGAGGTGAAACTCATCCAAGATACACCCAAACTTAGTCACTGAAATGGTAATGCTACAAGACCAGAGTGAGGGCATCTTCTTAGACATTCATTATTAAGAGTTTTGAATTCTGCAGGAGCACATAAGTAAAAATATCTTTCCACTCTTGGTCTCGTCCGCCCTACCTGCCTGACTGGCTGCCTCCTGGTTTCTTTTGTTAGCTTTGCCTGGGCCTGTGCTAATTCTGGCCTCTTCATGCTCTCTCGTACAAAAAATAAAAAGCCTGGGACTGGCCAAACACAATTGAATGGCAGGCTAGATTTCAATGTTATTTAAAATATTTAACTCCTTTGTCCTCCAACAGTGCTGTTTGTGTTACGTTTAATACAGGTTTGGATCCTCAAACAGCTGATCATGCAGCTATAACCACTGTGGGGTGCTGCACCATACCCCTGACATAGCTGTCCTGATAAAAACATCGTAATTTTTCAGACAGATTTAACTCATCTTTTCCCAAGAGCTTTGTTGTTTTCTGATACAGTAAGATTTAAAGTTCTCTGAGGTATTAATTGCTTTGACCTTCTAGTCACACTTTTGTTTTGAGGACATGTTAATTTTAACTGAGCCAAATTACAATCTAAAATCCGTGTAGATAGAGCTGGACTAATTCCACTCAGTTCAGGTAATCTATGATTTACATCAAAATGTTGGCCTTTGGCCTCACCCAGCCTTATTACCAACTTCAGCAAGAAAGGTCAATGCTGCTCCCTAGTGGCACTGGGCTTACTGCAGACCCAGGGATTTAGTGAAGTTTTTCCTTGATCCTTCTCCTCTTGCTGTTAGCATTTGAATTGAAAATCTCAACTTTACAGGCTGTATAATTTGGTTTTCCCTGAAACCTGACATAGAATGTCAGGTCTTTTCCAGAATTTCCATGAGAAACTGATGTTTCATTACCACAAACATTAACTTCAGACTAAAACATGAAATATACGAGACATGACCCAGTATTGGATGTTTACCTACTATTTCATTTATTTTATTTTAACCTTAGCATAGTTATTCACTGAGTTTAAATGCCTTCTAGAATTTAAAGTAACAAGGTAATAAGTGATAAAAAGAAATTCAAATATTCTATTGAAAAGTAAAGAAAAAATAAAATACAAAGGCAAATAGAAACACAAAGATACTGAAGTCCTATGCCACTTCTGAACTGAGGCTTTAAAACCTGTATTGTGAAGCAAATAAATTGTTTAACTTTAGGCAACAATTACTGCACATAGCTTTGAAGCATTATGAAACATCCCTTTTATTGCCTTACCCTCATCTTGACCCACACTCTTCTCTCAGCCTCTATTCTTGTGAATAAAGGTCCTTGCATGCAATTCCCCTTTGAAACTTACTGCTTTTAATCATCCTGGAGTGACATATGTTGCACCATCCAGTCAAGAGCTGAGCAAATTTCTTCCAAAGCATTCAGCACTTTTTCAACAAAAAAGACTCATAAAATTGAGACCTAGGCCAGAAAAGCGTGCTGGCCACAGAATGATTTCTGCCAAGCACATTGAAGACCTACACTCATCACCCTCTATTCACAGTGGTCAGTGCATTACTGTTCAACTAATCTCATTTGAACTAAAAGACTTAATCATAAAGTAAATTGTCACTCAGTACATTAAATACAAAACGGAGACTGCGTAGATGTCCAGAGCTAACATTATGCTTTGCTTTGCACAGTGTAATTGGACTCCCAGAAGAAGAGGACTGGCCTAACGATGTTGCCCTTCCAAGAAATGCTTTTGCTTCCAGACCCGCACAACCTATTGAAAAATTTGTACCAGATATTGATGAAATGGGCAAAGACTTGCTTCTTGTGAGTTTCCATCTGTTTTGTCCAAACTGCATGACTGATAGCTGCATGCCAAGAAACATTTCTGTTTCCATTTAATGAAGTTACTAATGAAGCAGAAAAGCAAGTAGACAAATTCGTGTATATCTGTGAAACATCAGCACAAAGACACCATATTTGGCTCAAGAGGTGTCAGAGGTGAGGACAGATAAAGGCTAGGAAACTGCCACAGAAGGACCTGTTTGACGTATCTTCTGCCTTGATCCTCATTACTGAGTGCTACTGTGCAACCGATTAGAAGCCATTCTTCTAATACTAGTCTGATACAAGTACAGAAAATGATCTGCTGTTTTTCACAGGATAGTGCAAAGCAGGAAGTGGGCTGTATAGGTAGATTACATCAGAATCAGAGTACTGAAAAGTTGAGATTTGGAATTTGCCATTTAATCATTGCCTCTTACAGCTGGCAGGATTGAACAGAAGCAAACAAGTTGTGCTTGTAAAACTAGTAGCATGTAAGTCAATTCAATTATTTCCAACATTTTCATAGATCTGCTAGAAACCTTGACTCTAAAGTTCAGTCTTCAAATTGAATATTGAGAATGACTTGGCATTTTACTGTTGTTGAAATCTAGCTAAAGTTCTTCTCTGAAAGTCTTTGAAAGATCTCAGTTCATATGGGCTCTTTAGAGAGGGCTCATTGCAAATATTGAAAGATTTGATGCATCACTTCAGCTGCTCCAACCAAAGTTACATTTGTACAGCAGCAGGTCATTCTCCATTGTTGTTATAACTGCAGCTCCCAGCTTCAGTAAAGTAGACTACACCTGGACACTTGAAATGACAGAAGCGCAATGCTTCTTTTGTATTTGCAGGCATATTGGAAATGGAAGCTAGACATAGGAAAAGAACTAGATTCAAAAACAAGTAGTAAAATATGGATACGGCACAGTGAGTGTGAGGCATGATGGGAAGGAGGAAGAGAAAAATATCTTTGCCTAGATGGTAAGGTGGGAAGCCATTACTGTTAGGTAAAAAAAAAAAAGGAGAACTGAGATCCACAGATGAAAGGGAATAGAAAGTCACTGAATTAAATTTCAAGAGTCAAATGATAGAAATTCTGATGCAAGTAAAGTAAGTGAGTGCTGAAACTGCTTAGACAAGGACACTAGGATGAATGCTATTTGAAGGTGAAGCAAAGGAAAAGACCAAGGTATAAAACATATGGAGAGTGTTCTGAGCTGACTGAACCAAGGCTGGAAAAAGGATCTGGAAAGTAGGCAAGCAAAGTACAACTATGAAGAAGAGGGAGAATTCCTAGTGGGATGATACAAGAGCTTCTAAGGTGACCTTAAAATACGAGTCTACCATCACTGGAACATAAACAGTGGAATTAGACTGAAAATTAGGGAAGAAGAATGAATCTGCAACAAGCAGTTGGGGTTTGGAACAAGTTAAGAGTAATAGACCTAAGAACTGTGATCACTTCAGCACAACTCTGAAAAGACTCCGAATGAAATAGTTTAAAGTCATCACTTCTCCTCTTATGTACAGAAGTGAAATCCACTATCAAAGTACTTCTGTCTGGGAATGCTTAACATACTGACCAGCCCTACTGCTGTCATTACTATGGCAGAAAGCCATGTTCTAAAGGTTTCAGCTCAGTGATAAGTCATGCAGATTTGCACTACATTAGTCCTAAAGAGTCGCTGCAAGAGTCCAAGAGTTCAGTTTGTCATTTTTCAAATAGATGCAGAATAAACAAACAGTTAAAGCCCAAATAACTACATCATCAGACAACACTTTACATGAAGTCAGTGAAAAATACAAGACGATGGTACTGAACAGCATGAGTATTCAGCACACTTGCAGACTGGCATTGATGAATATTAAATATCCTTTTGGATTTTTCTTTTATTTCAGCATGATGGAATTTTTCTGTTTTGTTTGTTTGCTTGTTTTAAATGTAGGAAACTGAACGCTTAACATTAACACACAAAGGGTATAAAGTCAAAGATTCAACTTCTATAGAGATGTTGACCCTAGGAATTAATACATACCTTAGAAAGCACTCCGTGTTTGTATAAGCACAAAAGAGCAGTGCATTGAGTACTGAGAGGATTCAAAAGCCGTTTGTAAATAGTTGTTCCCTGCAGCCTGTGAGGCAGTCTGTCCTGTGCATATGAATTCAAGAAAATATGAATTCTGAGGCCCCCTAAACTATGAACACTTTAATATTCTAACCTGGTATTTTCTATCAGCCTTGGGGATTCTGTAAGCCCACTGCCCCACTGCTTGTTTTAATGTGCATGGTCATCTTTATCACGCAGCACCGTCTGTGACCCCGTTGTGTCTCATACTGATAAAAATGGGCTGTGACTTGCGATGTTAACAATTTTAACTCTACACTGTAGTTAAAAACAACTTCTTTTCATACTTACAGAAATGCTTAGCGTTCAATCCAGCCAAGAGAATATCTGCCTATGCTGCCCTGTCTCACCCATATTTCCATGGTCTGGAGAAATGCAAGGAGAATCTGGACTCTCACATGTCATCCAGCCAAAACTCCAGTGAGGTGAATGCATCACAATGCTGACTGAAGATGAACCTATAAATGAACAAGATGTGTAGCCGACAAGGCCACTGTCCCATACAAACCACATGGCTGTTCTAGTGAAGATCATTGTTTGGAGGTTTTACACACTGTCTTTCGTTTTGGGATTGCAATGTGCTTATCCAAGGAAATCAACGTAGTTTACTTTCATCAGAGCAATGCAAGGGCCAGGGCTTTGGCCTGCTCCCATTGCAGCTTTATGTTTGTTTTGTTTTTGTCTTGTTTATCTGCCTGGGAAAACTCCAGACGAAGAGAAGCTGCTGACCAGTTTTGCTGCCGTTTTATCCTTCTAAAATTGAATGCTGCCAGTGTGGAGTAGGATGATCAAGTCACTGCCAAAACAGGATACAATCTCTCTAGCTGCTGAAGCATGATTTGGTACTTTCATTATGATGGTGTGATCTCTTAGAGTGATATTTAAAGAATGGCATTGATGTATCAGATCTCTGCAACCTGCAGTTAACTGATACATACATTAATACATCCAGCTACTGTGCACTCATAGAATACATGCAGGTCCTTCCCCAGCTGAAAACTTGGATGGATTATTTTGTTATTTCATCACAAAACAACAGTTACGATAGTGATCGTAATAAATGTCTCAGCTTTTAGGGTTTTTTTTTTAATACACAAACAAGTTATTATCTAGTTAAGTTTGTGTGTATGTTTCAAAAGCAAGTGTTTAAAAAAACTTACGAGGTCTCGTTCTTAAAGATCCATTCAGTTTCCAAATGGTCAGTTTATGTTGGAATCCATGCACGTTCTAACCCATCATCTAACCCATCGTTCCTTTCTGCAAACAGCTGCAAACACACTTTCTTTCTCTCATTCTGAAATTTTCTGATATGCAGCTCAAAGTCACGAGTAGATCCAATGAAAATGAATGCAGGTTTTCATGTTTAACCTGTTGTCGTCATTCTCTGAAAAGGAACATAGAAAAAATATTTCCAGTTTGGAAGGAGAGAATGCTATACTTGTTAAGTACAGTTATTTACCTGTGCGGAACTGTATGCTGCATACTGTGCTGCCTTACCTACAACAGCCGCCATGCATCTCAAGTCATGAACATTACTGTCACAAAATGCCTCAGATGTTGCTTATTAAGAAGACTTGTTTTCTATGCAGAAATGCATGAGCTTCTCTCCTAAGCCACCATGTGGTATACTGGCACATGCTTCTCCACTAGGCTTAATGTGCCATTACTGAATGTCAAAATAACTAAGTAATTCACATGCCTTTATAGAACAGTAATTTTAAATATTACATTAAAATGTTATATTTAGTATTTTTACCTTAACTAAAAAATATTTTCAGTATTTTAAAAAGAAGCATTTATTTTTTTTTAATACTGTACTGGGAAAAAAAAAAAAAAAAAAAAAAAAAAAAAAAAAGAAATATTTTCAATCCATGAAAGCCATTTCCTTGTATGACTTCAGTGCATATACCTGAATATGACTTGGGGGAAAAATTGGTCCAACGAGTTAACCCTTACCATAAAAATATAAATACACCCTACTGCAGTGTAACTGATGAGAAGTGAGGCAGACAGCTTTGCTTACTCTTATGACAGTCCCTTAGGCTACTCTCTTCTTCATCTCTGTTTCTTCTCGTCTGGCTAGGGAGCCAGCGTTACACCCTTGCTCATGGCACACTTGGCAAAAGCAGGTCCTTAGCACTGAATTGAGCGATGTAATTGTGCCAGACAGGGCTCAGGAACCTGTAGCTGTCTCCTGGCGGGTTTCTCAGCCCCGTGGCAGACTGCGTGCTGTGGTGCACTTCACTGTTAACTCTATTTCAGGTATCAGTACTGTCTGGGACATGGCCCATTGCTAAGATGGTGAGTGGATCTTACCGGTCTCCTGGATAAAGCTTTTCTTTACTATTAGACACTTAACTGTGCGACTTGTAGTTAACATTATGCCTACTTTAAATGGGCCAGATTTTAAAAGAACCGCTTGTGTGTATGCATGCAGTAGCCTGTGCCTTTCTTCATGCCCAGAATGGTTCCTGTTCAAAACCTACCAGCATGAACAGGCAAGTTGCATATTAGGCCTGGCAAGACCACATACGAGGCATCTGCACGCAAGGATAATACAGAGGCACAGCACAAGAGTTTTGAAAGCTCCACCAGTGGCAAGCTGAAGGCCAAGGAGCAGCCACGGCAGCTCACTGCTCTGAGCTCAGCTTCGCTTCTGCCAGTCTCTCTGCTCATACATCCAAGGAGAGCGGCGAGCCCGTGGTACTGGTGCTGAACCAACCCTGTTCCTCTGCCATTCAGTGAACCTGAGCGGGAACGGGGCTTTGGTATTCATAGAAAAGAATAGACCAAGGTGGAATTTTTGATCACATTTTTTTAAACACTAATTAGAATGACAAACAGAGACAAAATACAGGTGAATCTTGCAACAGCAACAATAGAAAAGTTTTCTACACAGCTTAGCACTTTGTAAAACATTCCACATGTTAATACCGCCAAGCTTCAGGGCATTCAGCTGATACTGGCTTGCCATCAGCTGTCAGGGAACTTTCCCAGAGCTCTCCAAGAGCTAACATGGGGTGAAAATGGGTCTGGGTGTGGGTTTGGGGGTGTTGCTTTCCAATTAGACTCCAGACTCTCAGATGGTGAAGTGCATCTGCTGTCTGGTAGGAGAGCTGGGTGTACTTGGCTTAGCAACACAAAGGCTGGAAGAGAATATGGTTGCTGACTGTAAGCAAATTGGTAGGGCAAAATAAAAAAAGAGGGAAGTTAATGCTTAAAGCCAAAGGTTATTGTGAGCCCAAGAATGAATGAAAAAGGTGGGAATTGCCAGAAAATTAACTGTTGGGGCAACATTTCCTAGTTTGTAGTATCAGACTTGAAGCTCAAGCAAGCAGCAGAAAAAAGCACAGGTGGCATGTGGAATTGGAAGCAGAGCTCCTGCAACATGGTGCTGTACATCGTCTAATATAGGATCAGGTTATATGGGGGAGCATTCAGGAGAAATAGCTTGGAAAAGGTTGCATTAGTGGTCATGTTCTGGAACAAACATCCAGTGGGAATGGCAGGAACAACAAAAAAAATTCTGTGTTGACAGGGCTGGGAAAAAGACCTTTTTTCCCTTGTAGCAATGGATGTATTCCAAGGCCCAAGGACTTTCCAAATGACTTCCTTTTCAAAATCTCTTCAGGAGGAAATTCCAGCAGTCCTTCCCTGACATGTCTTAGGCTTCCTCTTATTCCCATCTGCCCTGCCAAGCCACGAGGCTTAACTTACCCTGGTAAACCAAGGAGAACTGTTCTCTGGCTGGGCAAAGCACTGGCATTGGCTGACAGCATGGGGGAACCACGGTCCTAGTGAGACAGAACAAAGACAACTGGGAGACTGCTTACATCATGCTCTTGCTCCTTATATCTTCACGGAGGCTGTAGTCCTCGAGTACCTTTACTTATTAATGCTGTATATGTAGAATTAGAATTATACGTGAGAAGAAAGTGCTCCTTGACATACTCAATCCAGACTGTGATGACAACTCCTCATATAAACCCTTTAAAAAAATACTTCAGAACGCAATTCTTAAGAATTACTCTGTCAGCATGCGTTCTGCAGGACTGGTTCAGCAGCTAAAGCCCACTGCCTAGCAAAAAGTACATTAAAAGTAAGGATGGATGATGAGTTCCAAGAGCACCCACAGCCAGACACTGCTCTCTTCTCACCAATCAACGGGATGTTCTGGGAAACAGGAGCAGTTTCCATCTCCCACAGACGGGTTTGTTATCCCTGCTACATACCTACAGGAAAAATCCAGTCCCAGCAGACAAGGGAAAAACCCACTAAAGTCAGCTGGTGCCATGCCACAGCAATAAGACTAGGGCAGCCCCTTTCTCCTCACCCGGTCCCCACATTCAGTCTAGCTCTGCAGTTCCTCTCCTTCAGCATCCTTACGGAAGACATTTCAGTGACACTCATAGGTGCTATTTCCAGCAAGATTCTTCCAGGTTTTCAATAGCTGCACAATGCCAGTGTCCCCTGTGCCTGTGCATTCCACAATGTCAGTGCCCACTGTGTGCTGTGTAAGAAGTGTTGCTTCTTTTAGTGCAGCAGCCCAGAAGAGATGATTTTAAAAGGCTCTCTTTGTGCATGTCCTCACTTAACATTAGTTTTGTGTACACCTTTGTTGCCTCCTGTGTGCCAGGTAGAATTCTAAAAACAGGGTTTGTGCATATTTCTGTATTTCTGTGTAGGCTGTGCCCGCACTCCATTTTTCCTGCACACTGGTCTACTGTGTGAAATGCTAGGAATACCTTTCTGTCTTGATTCAGTCCTAAAATAGACGTAAAAAATTAAGATATCATGCTTGCAAAATTCTGAAATGTGGTGCTACAAGTATGTATAGAGCCTCTAAAATGAAAGGAAGCAGCAGATTGTAGGTAATATTTGAGAATCTTCTGCAGAGAGATGCTGTCCAGCATCCCAACTCCTATGTAGTTTTCATACTTGATGGTTGTTTTGGTGAATAAGAAGAAAGTACTGTGCCATGCTACTTCTCACAGGTTCTCTCACTATCTTTTAGAAGCATGTTTTATTATCCAAAGGAATCATTCTCTCTGGTGGTTGACTAATTTTAATATGGAAAATAATGACAAAACATGCTGGTTTGGTCTTCTAGCCAACAAACTTGGAGCACTTACCTGACTCACAACTGAAAGCACATCAGTTGTTAAATATGTATATGAATCATAAGCCACAGTTTGGTTTAAAAGACAACGTAAATTATTTGCCATGTATAAAACACAGTTGAATGTTTATTCTCAGAACTCTGTTTTATAGAACCACTTTGTTAATATTTTTCTTAGGCAATAGTTTCAGGAACAGGTGAATTTTTATGTACAATGTGAATGAGAAGATAGTAGACTATTAGAGTGATCTCTTGTTTTATGCTTGAAGCTTGAATTGATCAGAAGCCTAGGGACCTAAGTTATTTATTGTATTGCCTCAAAACTACTTGTAAGTATCAAGAGTTTTCTTGATTTAATGGGATTTTACACCTCTCTTACTGTGTGATTTTGTTGACACTAGTATATTAGAAAAAAAATGTTTTTCCAAATCGGCATTGTGGTAGAAAATTAAGAAATTTATTTTTAAATTCACGTAGAATAGTCTGTAATGTACTAAAACCTGCAGTAACTAACTGTTAATAAGCTATCACTTTTCTTTCTACTGGATTAATAAACATTGGAGTATACAGATTACTTTCCATGAAGAAAAGAATCAGAAACAATCTCTAGAAAAATGGGATTTTATGTGCCTAATCATACCTACCAGGCTACACTATCATATTATTTTTTTGTGTGTGCCAATACTGATCAGGTATGTAAAAACCTGATTACAGTTTGCCAGTTGAACAGTCTGTGCAACTCAAATAGGAGTTCTGTTTGTCAGTTATTTTTTTTATCCCTTTGTTTTACAAATTGTTAGATAATGGCTGTAATATAATTCCAGTTTCTGGACCAGGTTCTGTAGCCATCAAATCCCAGTAACTTCTGAAAAGCAATAAGAAGCTTTTTCATTGATTTAAATGATCTAGGCCATCAGAAGAAGAAAGACGTGGACATATGAACTGACAAGCATAGCTTTGGCAAATGTTATTTCTTCTCTTCTGTCTAAAACTTGGCCTGATTACATACTGATATGTAATAAATACATAAAATAAGAACCATAAAACACACCTAGGAACACTGTGCACAAAAATAGCTCATTCAGTTCTTGTAGAAAATAGCTACAAATCTTTAAGTCTATTAGTTTCAAACTGTAATCACAGTTTAATTACATTTTAAAAAATCCCTTAAAATTATGTAAGTCATTGTGTTTTTAATACAAAGAGTGAGAGAGCAGATCTGAATCAAATAGGAACTTGTTCTTGAAAATGATTCCACAAAGCCAAGTGAGCACTGTCGGTTCTTTTTGTGTTCAGTGGAAGCTGAAAGTAGTCAGCACCACACTTGGGTGAGCCTTTTGCCTTCCAGGCAGAAAATGTTGCTTGGAGTAAAAGTTGGTGGAGAAGTTGCCTTGACTTATACATAGTCCTTTGAAAGCTTCTGCAGTGTTCAAATTGGGTAAATTTCCAGCCTTCCAGCAGACGTGAACCAGAGCTCCCTAACCAGATGGCATTTCTTCCTTCAGATGAAATGTTTTATCTCAGTTAAAATTTGCTGTCGGCTTCATCCTACCCAGTGTCAATGAGACATTTGCATGTCTAGAGAAAGCAAGAAGTTCTGATACGGACATTTTGCTACTGGGTAGAGAAAATTGTTT